TCGACCGGACTATAAAACCCTCAACGAATCGATGCAACACCAGAAATCTAATTAACAGTGAGTATTGTAAGAACATTAGTTAAAAGAGTAAATTCAGAGGCTTATTATACTCGCATATAATAGAATTTCATTTTAAAATATACTATATGGCTCCTTCTGAAATATATTTCCAAATATTTGCTTCCCTGGCTCTCTGAGTTAAAAAGGTTGCCGACCCTTGTCCTAACCTATCAGTGTTTAGGCCCCCAGCACTGAGAAATAGACAGTTATAGGTCGCCTGGTAGTCCGTTTAAGTAACAAATTAAGCAAGGTTACATAATGGGAAGGCTAAAAGAATGTTTTCAATAGTGAAAAAGTTGACATTTAATAGCTGCGCATTGTTTGAATGGGGCGGAGATTGGTCAGGATCCCGATTTGCTCATCGTTTCTCAAGGTCTGCGTCATTTTAATGGGATGAAGTGTCTGACAGCTAAAACTTCGACAGTTTTAAAAAAACGACGTTCTCTCCTTCTAGAGTTTGAGGTTCGCGGAACGTAATCACTATTTTTCCACACGTACTCTCAACCAAGTTGTCTATATTAAGCAACTTCGAACATTATGAGTGATGACTATTGACATCCCTGACTCATTTCTGCTGAACGTGTGGATGTTTGTAGGTCAGAACCGTACTTTTACCTGTCACTTGCGATTATTAAAATATTTTGGGCAATAGTAGTAAATCATATTGTTTCGGGGAAGAGATTGTTCATGTATTTTCAAGTTCCTACATTAAGGTAGTTCTTGAAGCCCTGAATTATTGCTTAAAAGGATTTTCTAACCGAGGTATGGCGAACGGTGATAAGAACCCTCGTATTACAGGTAGTCTTACGCTAACTTTGAGGAAAATTAAGGGCTAAAGTTGGGTCACGGGAGTGTTATCAAGCGGAAGGGGGGTACTTTTACCCTTGTCTATCCGACTGGGGATGGGGATAGGCAAAGCTATTTAAGTCTCCATTGTTTTTTCCGTATTGCACCAAACGACATCATGATTGTAAAGTGTTTTGGTTCCAACAGTTCGCAGGACTCCCGTAGTCCCTGGAAGAAGAGATATTTAGGATCCGAAACCAAGCCACACCTGGTGGACATGCTAGTCCATAAAAAGCAACTGCGTTTTTTTTTCAGGGAATTTTCCCCACGTTTCTGCACGTCAGTACGTTTAACTCCAGCGTCCGCCTTCAGTACTTTTTAAAAACTTCTGCTTCCAACTGCTATCGTTTTTTTTCCAATTGACCAAAACGACTTTAAGCCAGTTTCGGATAAGTGCATCTTTTGCCTCCTTATGAATGCAGGACTTTTCGGCCGATTATCAGTTTATCCGTGAATGATGATTAGGTGGTTATATGACAAGCAAAAATACTGCCACCCTTTTATAAATGTCTAGTAAAGTGACAGTTAACAGAACTCCCACGTTGCCGTACCTAGACGTTTTTATGTACTACCGGATACATAGAGTAATTTGAGCCTGGCCACCCTCTGTAACCACCGTCTACCTGAGTCTTCTGGAATTCCTGATTAATTGATGAGGCAACTTCTAACAGGAAATACCTGTCAGGAGAATGTGGGGTAACCGAAGAGGACAAGACACGGGAATAAGAACCCGCAGCTGTGCGGTGGGGCAACTATTTCCGTTCCCTAACTCTAGCCCTTATCGAAGTCTCCATTTAGCCCAATGCTACCTGTACTCTGTGAGGTCTCCTATTTCTGTGTCCTGCTGCGATTAGCCTAGAAACGGACTCGTTTGCAAAAACGCATTTTTCATCATCAGACTTGGCGCCTTGGAAGATTTCCAATCGAGAATTTACTGTGCCTTTCCGTGTCTGCCATGGAGCACGTTTGCAGTTTTTTTTATCCCCAGCAGTTCTTGACTCGAGCCTGGTATTCCGAGGGTTCACCAACACCTTCAGTCAGTTGGGCAGGTGACTGCATCGCACTCCATCTCCGTCCTTACGAGCTGACACCTCTGACGACCTTTCGACATTTAATCTCCTTTTCAGTATCCGGACCGTAGGATGTGCCCCTGTCCGCCGAAAATTGCCTCCTTCTCAAACCTACGTCAATCTGCAGACCAATCCACGGTTATTATCAGCCTAACCTCCCTCCCCCCTCACACTAGTGCTTTTTATGTTTGCCTAAACCGCAGACCTTTGCGTTTTTGCTAATCCACTCCCACCCAGCAAACCCCAACACTCTTTTTTCGCAAATGATTCTATAGACATTTTTTGCCGTCAAAGTCTTATTCCGCTACGCGTGCCGACAAATGTTTGCCCTACCCCTGTGGATACTTACCTCTCTGAATGCCGTACACAGGAAATTCCGAGGCTCTCTCCCTGCGCTAGCAGATTTGCGTTTTTCCCAACCCCTTACCTAGAAAAAAAA